TTTTTACTTATAAATTGTAAAATTATGGCAGCATTGTTTGTAATACATTTAATTTTGATGTATCATTATTTTATTTTATTTTGACCTTGTAACCTTAGAAAAACCTTATATTTATTTACTAATATATTCTTTGATATTTTTGATTTTTGGGGCGTCACATTACTAAACTCCATGTACTACTCTTACTATTCAATGAACTTCCACTTATTATTTCATTACACTAAACTTACTGCACAATTTTGGTTGTGACAATGCCATCATAGCAATTATAGAAGGTCCACTCTTGGTTTTTGATCCATCAATTTTAGGCTTCTCTCATGATGGTGGTGATGATTTTGTAAACTATTTATCAAATAGTTTGTGTTCATGGAAACCATTATGTTGTTATGAATATCGTGAGTAAAATCATAATAAATAGTTAGTATTGTGTCAGTAAAATCACATTATAGAAAGTTTCTACCTTTTTTACCGAATCAAATGTCATTTTAAACACATATTTTTCAATTAGTTAATCTATACACTTGACATCTCTTTCGGCTAGAAGGTCATCAGAACTAACGATGTTCCCTTGATTGCCAATGTTGTACTCACCAGTGTCAAAATCATTAGCATTATCATTATGTAATTCATATACGGTGTTGTTTTGCCTAATGTTGCCTAGCATCTGTGGTAAGCATAATAAAATTAATTAGATCAAACCAAATGATAAGTGGTATTACAATTAGTTAATGAGACTTCACTCACTGCTCAATTAAATCATACTTACTATTTAATGAGTTTCCACTTACTATTTCATTAGACTTTATTGACTACTGAATTAAATTCCACTTACTACTCAAAACCTCCACTTACTACTCCATTACACTTCACTTACTATTTCATGAGTTTCTAGTTACTACTTCATTAGACTTTACTTATGCCTCGTTTGGGAACAGACTATTTTAGTAATTTTTTTGGCTTTTTGGCTAAAATATGAAGTAAAAAAAACTAGTATGTTTGGGATGACTTTTTGACTTTTTACAAAAAGATGTGCAAAAAGAAGAGAGAAAATGGAATCTTTGACTTTTTAATATAAGTTATTGGCTTTTTGATTTTTTTTAGTAACTTTTTAATTTTTAGGTTAAGACAGCCACTTACCAAATGAGGCCTTACTACTCAATAATCTTCCACTCGCTACTTTTTGTTATACTTCACTTACTACTTAATGAGTTTCTATTTACTTTTCACTAGAATTCACTTTTTAGTCAATGTACTTTCACTTACTACTTTATTAAACTTTAGTTACTACTCAAATAAACTCTGCTTACAATTTAATTAAACTTGACTTACTATTTAAGACTTCATGAAAAGTAGATTTGAGTTATTACTTAATGAGATTCCAATTATAGTTTAATTAGATTTCACTTACAACTCAATTAAACCTTGCTTATTATTTAATGAGTTTCTTTACTATTGCATAAGACTTCACGTACTACTCAATTAGCTTTCACTTACTATTTTATTCAACTTTACTTACTACTTAATGAACTACTCTATTAGACTCTACTTATTATAAAACACCATTTCAATAGACTCAAGTTACTAGTTAATAAAATTATATTTATTATTTTATTAAACTTGACTTAAAATTTTAAAACTCCACTTTTCTTTTCTTTTTTTTCCTTTTTTTTTCTTTATTATAACTAAGTGAAATGATTTTCTGACAAAATTTTAAAATTTATAAATTAAAAGTATCACATGATGTTAAAATAAAAGAGAGATAGAGATATAGATAAATTATTACCTGAAAATTGTCTTCAATTCGTAAAATCTAAATCATCCTCTTTCACTTATTCTTTGTAAAAAATATGAAAAAAACACAATTTTACTCATTTTGTATGCAAATGAGTTGAGAGTTCTTCTACATTTTTCTAATTAACTATATTCTTATATAGTAATTAATGTTTTCAAGTGTAGTAGGTAAAAGAAAGTAAAAATTGTACATGTATTCATTTATTATCATTAATAAATATTGACCAATGAGAGGTCTTTCTAAGTTATTTTATTCTATTTTATTTTCAATTTATGCTTTGCAATATTTTAGATATTAAAAAATATTATGAAGAAAACTTATGAATATTTTGAAGAAAAAAATATTTCATTATGGATATTAAATTGATAAAAAAAAATATTAATTTATAAAAGTTTCTAAAAGATTTTTTTTTACAATAAATTTATATATTTTTTTATATAAAATATACAAAATTTATAAGTAATAAATAAAAATATGAATATCAAAAACTTAAATAGTAATTACTATTTTGTGGTGTTGTAGGTTAGAAAAAAAGATTGACTATTTAAATTAATATTTTTAAAAATAAGTTTAAATAACTTACAATTTAAAAATATTTTTTTTACAATTTTTTTAATATTATATCGAAAATCAAATTGTCACAATAATGACTATTTAAAAAAATTAGTGAATTTTAATAAATTAATATTTATATATCGTATTTTATTTTTTACAAATCATAACAAGACAAAATATAGAGAAAAAATAGTTAAATATGGTGTGTAATTAGTATTTTATATTTAAAATTAATTTAAATTGCAAAATATGATACAATTTTGAAGAAATGAAGATGACTTGTTTAAGAGGTAATATTTTAAATAGTAAGTTTATTGATAACAAATAATAAGTTAGTGAATACCAAATAGTAATTATGTTTATAGCAAATAGTAAGTTGGTATCACTTTTTTTAATTTCAAAATTAACTAAAACTACTTTTTTTTTTTAAAAAAAAAAAACTACCCCACTTTTTCTACCTAATTTTGTTATTTACTCATTCAATGGCTAACATTCATCCTATCTAAATCTAATGCCCATATTTTTTATATGGGAGCTTTTTTGATAAATCCATTTTCTAAGAGCTTTATTCCATCCAACCCATATTCTTTTTAACTATTCCATTAGGTCCAATTTGAGATAAGAAGACCAAAATACCCTTTTCATCTACATATGTTCCATTTAGTTCACATTATTTTTTTATATTTCAATAAGTCTTATGGGTGACATAATTACCAAAATACCCTTAATGTGAATGTTCACACCGTCAATATAAATGTTTATATCGTCAATGTGTAGGGGCTCGGCTCATATCGATCCTCGTGGGTGCCCGGAAAAATTTGAGTCGGGTATCAATGTGAATGTTAACATGTCAATGTGAAATATTCACATTGCAACGGGTCGGGCCGGGCCGAGTCGGGCCCGCCCTGGGCTGATGTCTAGTTTTATACTCTTATCAATGTGAATGTTAACATGTCAATGTGAACATTCACATTGTCAACAGGCCGGGCCGGGCCCGTCCATGGGCCGTGGGCAGGTTTCGGGCAGCTACGAGGCGCGGGCTAATTTTACACTCCTATCAATGTGAATGTTATACTCTTATCAATGTGAATGATAACATGTCAATGTGAATATTCACATTGTCAACGGGCTGGACCGGGCCCGCCCGGGCTGCCCATGGGCCGCGGGCAGGTTTCGCACTGCCACGGGACGGGGGCCAATTTTACACTCCTATTAATGTGAATTTTAACATGTCAATGTGAATATTCACATGTCAATGTGAATATTCACATTGTCAACGGGCCGGGCCCGCCCTGGCTCGAGGGCGGGTTTCGGGCCGCCCACGGGCCAATTTACATTCCTACAAATGTGAATTTTAAAATATGAATGTTCACATCATTAAATTGTTAATCGTTGAAAAAATATTTATAAGTGTATCAAAATTAAATATAAGGGCATAAGTGTCCAAGAAAATAGTGTAAATCAAGAAAATGGACTTTATGGAATAAAACTATACACCCATGGGACTAAATGGGTTAAAAAATTCATTCATAGACTTCTTGAGTTAAAACACTTCTAAATTGGACTTATCAATAAAAATCCCTTTTTATATACCATACATTAAAACCACTTTCACGTATAGTAGAATTTATTCACGAGAGATGGTATTAATATCTAATCACATGTGATTGAGATAAAGTGCAATTTTGTCTTTCACTTTATAAAAATAACAAAGTCACCTTTCTATAAAAAGGATTTTACATAATTTCATAAATTTAATTCTAACTAACTAATATCACTATATAATGCATAAACAAATATAATTTATTTTACATCTTCAATCTAATACTATCACATTAGTAATCGTTTTATTTAATCTCACTATGTTAATAATTTCATCACTCAAATAAATAAAACCTTAATCTTTGAAACAACAGTGCTACATTCACAAATTTATTATTTTTATTTTTTTATTAAATAAAAAGAAAATGCATATAAAGAGAATTTTAAAAAAATATTTTACAAAAATGAACTTTTTAAATTTTAAGAAATTGTGTGGATTTGGTTTTGAAAACAAACATATAGGGTGTGTTTGGTTTGGTTTTGGGAGATAAATTTTCAAAAAAAATTTTGGGAAGAGAGTTTAGAAATTTTTTTAATTTTTTTGGTTTTATATTTTGAAAACAATTCTGGAGTTTGGAATGATTTGATATTTTGTTGAAATTGAGTAGATGTACGTGAGGAAAAAAATGATTGAGAATGAGAGGGAAGAGAGAAAAAGTGATTAATTGATGTATAGAAGAGAAAAAATGATTTTGAAATTTTTTTTCTAAAATCTCTAAACCAAACAAAATATTGAATTTCTTTTTTTAAAATTTATTTCTCAAAAACAAACTAAACAATGTCACGAATTTTTATGAACCTATCTCATCCAATATCATTATTGGGCCTCAATCCAACCCAAAGTTTGAGTGTTAGCTAGCATGGAACTGGTTGAAAGCCAAATTACCCAAAATACCCCTAGAAGCCAGCATATTCTCTCCTATCTCATCCAATATCATTATTGGGCCTCAATCCAACCCAAAGTTTGAGTGTTAGCTAGCATGGAACTGGTTGAAAGCCAAATTACCCAAAATACCCCTAGAAGCCAGCATATTCTCTCCTCCTCCTCCCGGAGAGTTTGTTAGAGAGAGGAAGAGGAGTCTTGAGAGAGAGAGAGAGAGCGCGCGCCACTGTTTAAGACCATGTATGCGTGATCAGAAACCATTTTCACACCCATTTTCACACCGTTTAAGATCATTGAATTCCTCATCTTTACGTCATTCGCACGCTGACTCTCTTTCTCTCTCTCTCTCTCTAACCCACCCACCAGACCTCCACACATATTCACCATTCCCTTCCCCAGATCTGAATCAATTCGCCTCCACAATTTTACCCTTCTCTCTATAACCCCCATTTCACACGTTAATCACACATTTATACATTGTTTTTATGTGCAATTCATTGTATTTACTAACTATTTCCACTGATCTATCACAATAGTTTACACTTTACACTCCAAGTTTGCTAATTTATTCCATATTTTTACTGGGTTTTTCTTGATTTGATCTGGGTTCTTTGTTTGAGACCTTGGGTTTGTTAGATCTGGGAATGAGTTAGCTATTTATGTTGTAGTTTGATAGATTTTGTATTGTATATGTTTCTCGTGACAATGCCGTCGGGAAATATGGTTGCATCCGATAAAATGCAGTTTCCGGCAGCCGCTGCTGGCGGTGGAGGCGGCGCTGCAGACCTCCTCCACCATCGGCAGTGGTTCCCCGATGAGCGAGACGTGTTTATCTCGTGGCTGCGTGGCGAATTTGCTGCGGCCAATGCGATAATCGATTCTTTGTGTAACCATTTGAGTATGATTGGTGAGCCTGGAGAGTATGATGGGGTAAATTTCAGTATACAGCAGAGGAGATGTAATTGGAGTCCTGTTCTTCAGATGCAGCAATACTTTTCGATTGCCGAGGTGTTATACTCTTTGCAACAGGTGGCTTGGAGGCGGCATTCGCGGTTTTTTGATCCAGTGAAGGTGCCCGGGAAGGAGTATAAGAGGTCTGGTTTTGGGTCTAGGCAAGGACAGAGGGTTGAATACGTGAAGGAAAGCCATAATTCTAATAATGTAGAGTATCATAGGTATGATGCCAATGTTTCTGGTAATTTGGTGAGTTTGGAGAAAGGAGATAGGGTAGTTGAAAAAGGGGAAGAAGCGAAATTGGGCGGTGAAGTTGTTAATTCGGATGATAAGGTTGTGGCTGTTGCTGAGGATAAAAAAGGTAACAATTGAATGAGTCATGACTCTGTGAGGTTCATTGATTGATCACTAGTTGAACTTTAATTAATACTTGTTCATGAGTTTTTTTAGTTTATAATTGATTGTCATTAACAATTTGGGAAGTTTGAAGCACATTTACTTTTTTGCCCAAAAAAGTAGCACATTTACATCTGCTATATATGTGTAGTTTTTGTATTGATTGTATTGGTGGGTTTGAACGGTTATATAAGATAATTATTGTGTTACTTATCAGTAACCATTTTATATTACGCCTGCCCTTTCAAATTTGAATGCAGTTCAAGAGAATGTCTACATAAATATGCATTCATCTTGGAAAATGTTATTGGTTGCTGGATTAATTTTTCCATTTTCTTTTATCTGGTCGTATATAGCTAGCTGCCTTCATTTATCAATGTGTTATCCCATCACCATTGTGACAATGCACCATATTCCCAGGAAGCTTATTGTGGAACTCTTTTATTCTTTGGTTGATGTGTGCAAGCAGTAAGCACACAAAGGTTCTGCAAGCTTTTATGCAAGGAACTTATGCTTTTCGCGTAATTTTAGCTTTAGAAAATAATTCAGCGTGTATGGTTTGAGTTTTCTGTATTAAGTTTTTTGAAAACTGAATTTTTTGGTTTTCGTATTCTTTTGTTTTTAGTGAATATTTTTTAAATTTTAAATATTTTTTTTACTTTTTTAGATGCACCTTAGTTAGATGTAAAAGTAAAAATTTTGTGAAAAAATATTTTAAAAAATTAATAAATACATAAAAATACAAAAAATGTATTGAATTCTTGTATTTTTTTTGTATATTTGGTATTTAGTGAATTTTTAAAAGATTTTTTTTTACAATTTTTTAACTTTTTAGGTGTATTTATGTTAGGTGTGTCTAAAAAGTAAAAAAATTGTTTAAAATATTAAAAAAATTCAGTAGAAACAAAAAAACATGAAAAATAAGAAAGTAGAATTTTCTAAAAGTGTTTTTTGAAAAATGAAAACAAGCAAGCTGATTAGTTTTTTTCTCTTGTTAATTAGATGTGTGTAAAGCTGCAAATTTCTTAACAATTTTGATAATGTAAACATGGCAATATATGACACTTATTATGCTGTGTATTGAGTAGTAGGTTTTTTTTTTTTTTTTTTGTCTTATAAAGTCTTGAAAAAGGCATAACATGATGGTGAAATGGCACATACATAAATCTACCAGCAGGATACAATTTCGTTTATCAGTGTCAATATGCAGATATTCGTCTATTTCTTGCAGTCATGTTCTATCATGGCACCAACATAATATTATCCGAGTGCATGATCACCATCTTTCAAGATCACTACCTACCTGTAGTATTTTAGTTCTGGGAAAATGCCACTATTTTTTACTTTCAATGTGAGAGGCATGACAAAGTTTTTGAAGTTGGCTGCTTTGTATTAAACTCATAAGTTATTTACCACCATTTTTTAAAACAAATAAATAAAAGTGACTCTGCGTTAGAGAGCAGTTGTTATTCGATTTCCATAACACATGGTAAAAAGAAGTAAATATAAAAGAATATTAAACGGAGCACTCAGCAGAAAGATTTTAAATATGAGAAGTCCAATAATAATATGTTGATCTTACTATATTTGATTCAGTTACAAAAGAAGCAAATGGCTAAGCATTGAAGAAACTTAAAAAAAATAAAAAAATTCAAACTGACTAGCATGATAATGCCTTGTACTTCTGAAAAATTGTGGTGCAATACTGACTTCTAGTGTTTGGTGTTGGAGCAGATGTTGTTCCAAAGCCTCAAGCAGATAGTTGTGTCAAGAGTTCTGGCAATTCACATGGAACCACATCTAGTAATTCAGAAGTTGAGGTGGAGGGTCATGATGACGGATGTGCCTCAGACTCTAAAGGTTTTTCTTTTATTTATTTATTTATTGAACTATATAAAGTGTGGTATACTGATTAATTAGAGTGAATGCCCAAGCTGTTTCTAGTTTCTCAAAACTGCTAACTCACTAATTATGGGTCAGATATTTTCCTATGCATAAAAACTCATATGATGCATTTATCTTGAAAATGTTAATCATTGTCCCACTCCCTACTTTCTCCCTTTCCTGATGTTGCTACTACTAGAATGGCACTAGCTTATCATTTAATGTTTCTCTCTCTCTTAAAGGACCTTGCAATGTGCCTATGGAAAATGATTCCCATTCTATTCAAACTCCACATGAGAAGCAGAATCTCACAATTATTCCAAAAACTTGTGTTGGCACGGAGATATTAGGTGGAAAGGCGGTAATAATCCATTACTCTTTCAGATTTATAAAAGAAAAGCATTTACTCTTCAGTATCATTTTGTCTTGTACTTTTATTTAGCTATTCTTTACTTTGTTTCTTTTCTTTTTTTTTTCCTTAAACTTCTGAAAGTACCAGTTTTTATCTGTAGGTTAATGTGGTTGATGGAATGAAACTGTATGAAGAATTGTTAGATGCCTCCGAAGTTTCGAAGCTTGTTTTGTTGGTCAATGATTTGAGAGCTGCAGGGAAAAGAGGGCAATTTCAAGGCAAGTTTCCCAATGCATTCTTGTTAGTTGATGGCCTTTTATTTTTCCTATAAAACTTCTCATATAATTTACATATGGTCATCTGAAAGTTTGTTCCGTTAGAAATTTGATTTCCTGTTTCATTCCATTATAACAACAAACCTTTAATATAAATATCCGTAACTTTCACCCCTATAGTTTAGGGGACTTTTGGTTGGCATACTTTTACGAGGGATTCATTTTGTGTTGGTTGAACTAAACTATTATGTAATGGATTTAATATTTTCTCTGGACGGTGGTAAGATGGTTGGGAGTTTTCTAGGATAGGACCATGGTTGTGGGGAGGTGAGCGTGGAGCCAACCTTGGACAAAGAGGGAGTGGCAATATAGAACCTCTGAATTGCCAGAGGGAGAAAGAAGTTAATTGCTTGCTTCTTCATGCATGGAGGTCTCTTATAGTAAATAATCAAACCATGGGGATTGTTGGGGCTAGCTCAACCATGGACAATATCCCATGATCAAGAACATGAGTCTCATCCCCTTGGTTCAACAATCCGAATGTTTGTCAACTACCAACTATAGTCACAATTAGACCTTGGGGTTGTATCATGAGGCTGGAATGGTAGGTGTTTAAAACCTTAAGAATGTGGCAGAGATGCTCCAGTGGTCACATATGATTCTCTTTCTAGCAACGGCATTTTAGTCAACAACTTGTCTTCTTGTGGAGTTCTCTCTTAGATTGGTCAACATGCAAACCACCATGAGGGAGGGGGAGGCGCTAGGCATCACAGATTCTCAGACCCTTGATTTTAGCTTCCAGGTCACAAAACCTCTAATGATTTTGAGTTCTAGGGCCATAGCTTGCCTGGGCATTCCATGGCTGAAGACCCAACCCTCGGGTTCCTAGGCTTTTCTCCCTAGCTTAGGCATCCATGGTAATGCCCAAAGTGCCATTTAAGAAAATATTTAGATGTCTGTCTTGATGGTGGAAAATTCCACTCAGCTAAGTAGGGGGGGGGGGGGTGGTTGGGGGGGTTGGGTTCAAGCCAAGTATTGTGGAGATGGCGTGCTTGACGGGAGAATGAGTGTGTATGAGGCATGAGGGCACGCTTTGGTGGAGAGTCACTTGACTGAGTTGAGGGAGTATCAATGTACCACTGTTAAGTACAGAGTCATTGGCCTTGGTGAGGGTGGCGTCATCCCTTGGTGCCATGGCTGGACTCTAAAACACAGTGTGTTATTAGGTCAGAGTTACCATACTTGGTGGCCCATGTGCCCTCACTTAAACTACACCTTCATGAGCTCCAGTGTACATGTTGTGCAGATCAAAGATTTTAAAGGTGAATGCGTAACTCCAGGCTTTTTACCCCTCACGAAGTGAGGTGTAAGTTTTAAGACATTGAGGCGTAAGCATTTTGAATTTAAAATTTAAATATTTAATAACTTAAATATTTTAAAATAGTCAAAAAAAAAAAAAAATTTAAATATAAAAGGTATAAATACTTTTCTCCTTAAAGGCATCGAACATTTCACTGCAGAGAATGAAGCTTGTCTTCATTGAAAGTGAAATTGACATTCTTAGCTTTAGTGATTGAGTTTTTCACTTGAGCATTAACTTTGTATTTTTTGTTCATTGTTAATTAACTTAATTTTTTCTATAGAATATAGTCACAAAAGGGATTCTTTTTTTTATTTTTGACTTTTTGATACTATTTACTAGACTAAATGTAACAAGAGTCTAAGGCAACCTCTTCATATGTGTACTCGTCATATGCTTATGTGCGAAAGGCATACACGGCGCATACCTTAGATTGTGATGTGCATGCCTTTAGGGAGTATAGCCTCAAGACAAGGCGAGCATGGAGGCGAGGCTCATTAAAGCCTTTGAAAACTTTGGTGGAGATAGCGTGGCCATTTTGATGATTTGTCACCTGGTGATCTATGTATTAGTTTTGATGATGTCTGGATGCCAACGAGGCTGATACCCATATACTTTAGTTGAGATAAGCTATTATCTAATTGATTCATAACGCCTGGAACTTCTACATAAAAACAAAGGGTGAATTTGGTATTGTTTTTGTTATTTGTTTTCTATTGTTGAAAATAGAAAAACAAAAATTGGCATGGAAAATTTTTTGCCAAACTGTTTTTGGGAAAATTTTCTGAATAACATGCATTTTATAGAAAACCCTTTTAATTTGTGTTTTTGAATTTTTGAAACTGTTTTCACGCAAAAATGAATGTTATCAAATTTTCATTTTTTCCCCTTAGAAATACAACACATAAAAACAAAAATGAAATGGGCCTGTTTAGATGTGTTTTTGTTTTCTGTTTTCATTTTCTAGGAAACTTGCTGTCGAACTATTTTTGAAAACTGTTATTGATATTTATTTTTGAAAACAACACACTTTTAGGAAATGCCAAAAGTTGTTTTTGAATTTTTGAAAACTATTTTGGCATAAACATGAAAATGATGGATTTATCAAAAAAAGAAAAGAAAAGAAAATAAACATGAACATGATGGGTGTTTTCAAAATTTTCATTGTTTTTGTTTCCGAAAACACAATTTAAAACAAAGAAGATGAAAAAAGACCAAAGAAGCCTGAGAATATCGAAAATGAAAGTAATACCAAATGGACCTGCATCACGCGTGTGGAGGTTTATGAAAATGTCATTTCATTTTTCTCGTGTTGTTCCTGCATTATTATCAAATTATTAGCAGACTTGCTGTAAAAAATATTCACTGCTTCGTGTTCTGATTTTTTAAGGGCATTCCTAAAATTTTGACTGAAAAATCTGTATAATTTGTGGTAGATTGGTAGTTGAATTTAGTGTTACATGAACTCTTCTATTCCTCCCATTATACTGTGTACATTGAATTCATGATAGTTGAATTTGGTGCAGCATAGACTCTTCTATTCCTCAGTGTACATGTGTCCACCGCGTATATGACAGGGTAAGGGAGAGAATGTGTCGGACACCCAAACCGAAGTTAGATGCATGGACCTCTAATTTTTGTAATGTGAAGAAGAAGAAACTAACATTTGGTTGTAAAGAAAACTTTCTAGCCTATGATACATGTGGGATGTAGAAATCCTCCTTTTCTCCTAAATCCTTCACCTACTCTTTACCTACTACACACTCACCCTCTTCTATATATAGGAATCATGAATCATTGTAATTTAGATCAATACAACAATCAATAATACAATCATTTCTCTTTATACATTAAATTTCTACATGTCATAATATCATACAATACGTTATACATTTAAATATTCCAGACATGTCTACGTACTTGTACCCAATCTTTGGATACATGTCCCAATGTCCAAATATTTAGGTTTAGGATGCTCTGTGCTTGGACACACACCTGCACTCGATAGTCATCCCAACTTTTGTATACATGTTCCAATATCCAAATATTTAGGTTTAGGAAGCTCTAACACTTGGACACACCCTCACACGATAGTCATACCGACTCCATGCAACAAATTTATCACTATGCAACTTGGATTTGATTCGTATGGAGTTTGAAGGAACACAGTAATTGAAAGAACATTTGTAGCATCACTTGGTGCACACCTCTTGCTATTTCTTCTTGTTAGTAGTTGGAATGATGATATCTTTATCTTTTCTTGGTCTCTTTCATAGACTATCAAAAATACATAAAAGCAAACCTAACTTGTACATTTGTCTTTTGTGCCTTAGACATGTAATATCTCACAAGACAGGGTTCAAGTTGATCGAGATTGTCTTGACTTTTGTAGATTTTGTCCACCCCCCCCCCCCCCCCCCCCCCACACCAAAAAAAAAAAAAAAAAAAAACAAAAAAAACCAGCTTGCCTATGTTACATTACATTGACTCGGGTGTATATGTTGAAGAGTCTGATTAATCTAATTCTCATATCCAAAGGACATCAGGACATGACTAGATTTCATATTTCTAAATATTTGTTTTACTTTTTAAGGGTAAAATGGTGATTACAAACTAACATTGTATATTTTATGCATAAAATGCGAGTTTTATGCATAATTATGGCTTAAACTCAACTACAGAAGCATACTTTAATGAGTGCATATCCAATTAGTCATGCCAGACACATACCATAATCTTATGTAAGTGGAAAGTGTCCGATACGGGTACATCACAAATTTAGAAGAGTCTAATGTAGCATAGTGTCTTGCAAATACGTACATTTCACATAATTTTGTTGTTATTTTGAAATAAATGTATATGGATGTTGAGTTCGAATAGTTTTTGAAAAAGATAAGAATTATTTTATTCAATTCTCTTGTGGTTTCTTGCCAGTTACTACAATAATAATTGACAATTGTTAAGTATAGCAGGAGTTTGTGTGGGTTCAATTAATAATCCTATGACTGTCAAAGATACTAAATACGCTTCTAATAGAAAAAATGTTAAAAAAAGAAAAAAGAAAAAAAAGGAGGCTTTGCTTAAATCTTCTTATAATAAAGGTTTATAATTGTTAGTTTATATATGTTTAATCCTTGTGTTTGTTTCGAAAATATAAAATTAAAATATATTGTGATTTTTGCTATCATAAATTTGACAATAGAAAGATCACTTCATTGACCTTCAATTCCACCCCTTAATAAAATTCTGGTTCTGCCACTGGCCAATAGTGCATTCTTCTGTAGAGATTTCATGGTGAATTGCATTTTGTCCCAGAAGCCTAGTTTTTATTAGCTCCTATAGATGCCCCCACTTCAAATTATTTGTCCTATTTTCTGTGTGGCAGGAAAGGTTGGGTGTGGCTGGGACTTGGGGCAGGATATAAATAAGATTAAGGAATTACATGAGAGCAGGGTACAAAAAAAAAAATAATAATAAAAAAAAGAGCAGGTGACATTGGTCCAAAAGTGTACTCTCTGCGAATTATGTTATACAAAAATGTTATAAGCATGTTTGTTCTTTTTCGTTTTTAAATATTTTTAGCCACTGCATTTTGCTAGTTGAATGCATATATAGATGGTTAAAAAAGAACTTTTCCATATAGATGGTTAATAATGAGTGTCATACAATGCCTCTCTTCTCCAAAATTGTGCCTCAAACTAAGTTCATAGAATAATCAAATTTATTAAGGTGGCTGATATCTTTCCTTTTTACTTGCACATAATTGCTTCTCTTAAACTAGAATCGCATCCTGACATTTTTAACTCCATGTGTGTCTGTGTACATTGCCAACTATCATTCAGTTCAGTTTGGATATCGAGCTCTGTAAAGTGTGTTTTTCTGCTAAAGTTTCAGTTTCTGCAAAATGTCAATAATTGTTATGCTTTTGTTTCTCAAGAAGCAGGACAAACATTTGTGGTTTCGAAGAGACCCATGAAGGGGCATGGAAGAGAGATGATTCAATTGGGCATTCCGATTGCAGATGCACCTCCTGAAGATGAAAATGCTATGGGGACCTCCAAAGGCATGTTATCTTGTTTTATTCTCTCTCCTCTCTTTCTCTCTCTCTCTCTCTCTCTCTCTCTCTCTGCTTTGTCAATAGATTTTGTTATGTTTTGTCTTAATCATGTCTTTTTAGTATTTGAGATGAAATTTGCAGATCGAAAAATGGAATCCATCCCTGGCTTGCTGCAAGATGTTATTGAACGCTTAGTTGGCATGCAAGTTATGACTGTGAAGCCAGACTCTTGTATTATCGATATCTTTAACGAGGTTGCTAGTTGTGATTTTAGTTTCAATAGTTTTGGAAATTACGCATAATGTTAAGTAGGCCTAATTGTGTGCCTCTTGTTTGTAGGGTGATCATTCGCAGCCACACATGTGGCCAGCATGGTTTGGAAGGCCTGTGTGCCTTCTTTTCTTGACAGAATGTGACATGACTTTTGGGAAAGTAATTGGAATAGACCATCCCGGGGATTATAGAGGCTCCCTTCAGCTTTCTCTTGCACCTGGGTAATCTTTTTCAATCTCTTCAGCCCTTCCCCCCCTTTATATAATATATATATATTGTTTCTTACTCATCTTGTTAGTTTTAATATTGGTTGAGAGTTAAGGAGTATGGACACGGACACGCCGACATGACATGTGGGAGACACTACAAAATATGTAGTTTTGTATATCCTTTATATGAATGCTTAATTAAAAAATAATAATAAAAAATACTAACATAACACTAATTTATAAAATTTGAAGGATGATATATTAATAGGCATAAATCTCAATTGTTTTTCTTTTATCATTGCTTAGTGATGAACATATATGTTCCCCAAGTGTCTAGAACGTACCTGGCTCTAATTTTTTTATTATTATTTATCTTTTATAAAAAATAATAGGATGTTTGGACTTGTATCTGACATTTATCGCCTTGATGGGAAGCATCTGATTAGTGTTGGTGTCCAACAACACGGACATGATAGCCTTCTTAGAAGTGTGCCTCTTAGGTTGAGATTAGTGCTACAAGTTTAATTTTAGCTCTATCATGCTTGTCGGCTGCCTTTTATTTATTTGGGATCTGCTGCATTAAGTTCTCCTTCTATTTTCCTGATTTAACTCTGAATATACAGATCCCTGCTAGTAATGCAAGGAAAATCTGCAGACTTTGCCAAACACGCGATTTCCTCCCTCCGCAAACAGCGAATACTCATTACCTTCGCAAAGTCACATTCAAAGAAAACCATATCCGGTGATGGGCCACGACTTCCTTCAGCTGCAGTAGCACCATCTCACTGGGGCCCACCACCCAGTAGGTCACCGAATCAACATATTCGCCATCCCATGCCGAAGCATTACGGGCCTGTCCCAACAACTGGAGTATTGCCCGTGCCACCCATTCGCCCACAGTTAGCACCACCTCCAAATGGAATCCCGCCACTTTTCATGCCTGCCCCAGTTGCTCTCCCACCAGCATCGGCTGGATGGTCGGTGCAGCCTACAAGACATCCTCCACCTCGGCTGCTAGTACCAGGCACTGGAGTTTTCCTTCCCCCGCCTGGTTCAGGTAATTCATCAACTCAACAATTACCATCAACTATGGCGGCTGAAACAAACTTTTCTGCGGAGACAACCAACCCTGTGGCTGAAAAAGACAATGGTTCAGGGAAAACAAATGGTAACGGTAATGCTTCTCCGAAAGGTAAAGTAGATGGGAAGATGGCACAGGAAGACTGCAATGGAAGTGTTGATGGAACTGATTAGAGAGAAGAGAGGATGGTATTCTTTGGAGCAAAGGGGGGTAAGGCTGGAAAACTACAGTGAGTTCAAAGCAAATGTAAAAATCGCGGAAAAAAGTTGGAGACTTGATGAGCATATTACCAGTCGGCAAAGGGGTTGGGGAGTAACCATCAGTGCTCTTTTACAAATTCCCTATGCTTTCTGTTCCCTTTTTGTTATTTTATATATTGTATGAACACTCTTACATCAGATGAGGAACTCATTTTCAATTCTAGTATTTTCACGGAAAATTTACTTGCTCATTGAGTTACTGGCTTAAGATTTGTAGCTCTTCTTTTTTGTCTCATGAAAAATTTAGTCACTCGTTGAGTCATTGGCTGAAAATTAGGGCTGGTACCCGATTCGGCATATGCTGATAGTGTTAAATTTTATGCTTTTAAAATGCATCTATTTTTTTTGTTTCACGTTGGACCCAAGTTCTAGTGACTCTTGGCTGAAGGATTGGAGAACAGCAGGGTTTAGGGCTTGATATTCATATTAGGTCTTCATGTGATCATTTGTTTGTTTGTTTGGTTGATTGGTTTTTTTTTATTTTTTTTTATTTATTATTATTATTATTGTTTTTTATCTTCCTGGTTTTGGGCAATCCCTTTTCTCTGATTTTCATATAAACAAATATTAGCCTCTACATTTTGTGGATACATTTATTTTGGCAAATTCATTGGCAGTTTACTATGATTTTATGCCAAATTTGGTAACCACACCTCTCAAGCGAAGAGGGTTAGTAAGAGTATGTTGATGGCTATGGCTTTGACGGTTTTGTGACATTGAATGCTGCTCTCTTCATGTTCTATTTTGTGGAGTTTGGAACTTAGGAATAAAATTGCTTTGAAATTTTAAGAGTACATTTTGAGAAACACCAAATTTTAGCGGTTCATACTTGTTACGTTATGGCAAATGTTTGAGTGCCTTGGCCATTCTTGCAAGCACTCTTAGGCATATGTTAAGACACCATTCAAGGAGGGGAAGAAAAGAGGGTCTGAGAAGCTTGATCAGAAGCAGGTTGTCCATAGGAAGTCCATTGATGCATTTGGACAGAGGACTTCACAGTATAGAGGTGTCACAAGGCATAGATGGACTGGTAGATATGAAGCCCATCTATGGGACAACAGTTGTAAGAAAGTTGGAAGAGGCAGGAAAGTGAAGGTATGTGTACAAAACTCTAGCGGGCAGCGAAGGCAAGGTTGCCGGCCGACTGCCCGCCGATGAGAAAAAAATGCAGGCCTAAATCTTATAGCTCTGATTCCATGTTAATTTAATATATTCAGAAAAAGAGAGAATAAATTGTGTATTCATATATATTGAATCTGTGTTATGGCCTCCGTTATATAGGAGAAAATATGATACAAATATCATCATGATACAAACACCATCATGGCTATTATATAAAGTGGCCGTAAGGAAAAGCTTAAAGGAAAATGCCACTGACTATCTTATCTATACATTAATCTATGTACATCATTATACATCATTATACATTAATAGTATCAAATAATTACTTATTGTGAATAATATAATAAATCAGCAGCGAAAGAACATATTAAGAAAAAAAGAAAAACAGAATACATTTTATACATGACAAAAAAAAACAAAAAAAACAAAAAACAAAATTGCAAAATTTAGGGGGGCATGTGACCTCCCTTGGCCTATGCTGCCTTCGCCCCTGTTTACACTAATATATGTGTATTTTGTTCTACATATTGTCTCTCCTTACCTTTTCATGATTCCATATCTTTTTTAATTTTTAATTTTTTATTTATCTATTTTTTAACACTGTATTTTGGGGAATTGCGATGTTGCTTCTCTTCATAAGAACAAGGGAGAGTTTATATTGTAGAATATAATAATATTGTGTTTGCTTGGCCAATGGTTATGGAGGTTCCCTCTTGAAAGCAATTATTTTTGGCATGCTGCTATGAATATGGTGTTAGTCCACTGCCCAAATGGAGAAACTACTATGGATAGTAAAAGAAGATAGGGAAGGTGGCTCTTCCACTCTTTCACTCCACCAAACCCACTAGCTAGTGGAAGGGGTATGTAGCAACTAATAAGATCCTCCCTCAATTGTGTATAAATTGAGGTGAGGAGGAGGGGTTTGATATAGATTGCAGTGTGTGCAATCTGAGAGAAGATTGTGAGAAGCAACAAGTGAGAGTGCTATAGTGAGAGAGTGAGGTGTGAGTGTGTAAACTCCCTCCGGGAAAATTCTATAGTGGATAGCTCTCCGTGGACGTAGGCAATTGCCGAACCACGTAAATATTCTTGTGTTATTGTGTGTGATTGATTTTTGGTGTCTCACAGTCTCAACAAGTGGTATCAGAGCTTAATTGGTTGCATTTTGGAAAAACAGAGTGCGTTTTTTCGAAACTGCCAGAAATCAAGCTGCTTAAAATCAGGTTTTGAGTACACCAGGAGCAAGGTCTCGAAGAGAGGAGTCCAAAACTGTAAAGTAGAGCTCCAGAAGCCTTGCCACATGCGCCACCCAAAGCAAGCGCGTGAAGCCTAGTCTCGCCACGCGCCTCCACGTGCCGTTGACACAGTCGGCGCGTCATCCCACGCGCGTCTGAAGGAGGAAGACGAGCCACGTCAGCGCCCAGTCAGCGCCACGTGTTGCCACATCATCGACACGTCATCCGACATATCATTTGCCACGTCGGTGACACGTGTCAGACACGTTAGCACATCCAGTTGGCCAGTCAACCTACCGAAGGAATGATCCAATGCTATGCGGCTAAGGTACACTTGCAGATTTGAACTGTCCAAAGTGTTTCTGCTTGATTTGAGCCATTCGAAGTCCGTTTTTGACAATCCAATAGTGCTTTCCAACTATTTAGAGTATTCTAGACACATCTGTACGGTCAAATTTTTAAAATCCTATTTCAAAAAATTTCAGTTTGTATTTAGACAATCCGAAGTGCTTTTCCGGCTATTTTGATAGAGGAATCAATGTCGACTTCGGGATCTATGTTCAAGTTGACTCCTTTCAATTATGCAATTTGGAAGTCACGGATGGAAGACACCTTGTATTATAAAGACCTATTTGACCCTATTTTTATAAAAAAGGGTTAAACCAGAAGAAGTGAAGGATGTTGACTACATAAAGATGAACCGTAAGACTATCGGTTGTATCAGACAATGGATAGACCACGGTGTGTACCATCATGTCGCCGAGGAGACAGATGCCTATTCTCTATGGACAATGTTAGACGACATGTACCTGTCAGAGACCGCTTGGAACAAAGCCTTGGTGATGAGAAGGCTTGTCAATTTGAAATTGAAGAATGGTATGTCTGTCGCCGAGCACACCAGTGAATTAAAAAATCTGGTGAATCAGCTTGCAACCGTCAAGATGCGCTTAGACGATGAAATACAAGCCGTTCTACTGCTCAGTTCTTTACCGGATAGTTGGGAGACGTTGGTGGTTTCTCTCAGCAACTCTGCACCAGAAAGGAAACTGACCATGAGCATGGTCACAGACGCCATGTACAATGAAGAGACAAGGCGGAAAGACTTGGGTGGAGATCAATCCTATGCCCTCGTCACAGAAAACAAATGTAGAGGCAAAGGCAGAAGAAGAAGCAAAAGCAGAGGACGCAACAGAGGAAGATTTCAAGACAAAGGGAAATCCAAAGAAGGTACGAGCTGGCCGAAGTTGAAGTGTTACCATTGTGGCCAAGAGGGTCACATAAAGAAATATTGCTATGCTTTGAAGGGAGAACAAAAACAAGGCAATAGATAGCCAAAGACTGAAGATGGGAACACTGCAGTTACTGCCTCAGAGGATATTGCATTATTCTCTGTTGAAGAAGAAAAATGCCTCCATATGTCAAACAATGACACCGAGTGGGTGGTAGATACAGCAGTTTCCTACCATGCCACACCCCGGAAGGAGTTCTTCAGTACGTACCAAGCTGGAGATTTTGGAACAGTGAAGATGGGCAACTCTAGTTTTCAAAGATTGTGGGAATCGGTGATATTCGCATCCAAACCAAAGTTGGGTACACGATGGTGTTGAAAGATGTCAGGCATGTTCCCGATTTATGCCTGAATCTTATCTCAGGAATAGCCTTAGATCGACAAGGCTATGAGAACTACTTCAGCAAAGGCACGTAGAAGTTGAAAAATAGATCTCTTTTGGTAGCTAGAGGACAGGCAAGTGGCACGTTGTACAAGACTCATGTGGAGGTGCATTCAGATAGCCTCAACGCAGCAGAAGATCAGGCATCACCAAATTTGTGGCACAAAAGGCTGGGTCACATGAGTGAGAAAGGGTTGCAGATTCTAGCAAAGAAGTCGCTTATTCCCTTTGCCAAAGATGCGAAATTGAATCCTTGTGACAACTGCTTGTTTGGGAAGCAACATAGAATCGCTTTCCACTCATCATCCAGAAGACAATCAGAGTTGTTGAGCAGAGTATACTCTGATGTATGCGGTCCCACAGAAGTGGAATCTTTGGGTGGCAGAAAATACTTCATGACGTTTATTGATGACGCATCACAGAAGGTATGAGTTTATGTCCTAAGAACCAAAGCTGAGGTGTTCTAGCATTTTCAAACATTTCATGCTATGGTGGAAAGGGAGACCAGAAAGAAGCTGAAGTGTCTCCGAATAGACAATGGAGACGAGTACACGTTAAAAGAGTTTGAAGCCTACTGTGCTACTCGCGGCATCCGACATGAGAAGACTGTTCCTGGAACCCCACAACACAATGGTGTAGCTAAAAGAATGAACCGGACCATTGTGGAGAAGGTTAGATGTATGCTAAAAATGGCAAAGCTGCCAAAGCCATTTTGGGGAGAAGCTGTTCGTGTTGCATGCTATTTGATCAACAGATCGCCATCAGTTCCACTGAATTTTGAAATTCCAGAGAAAGTATGGTCTGGCAGGGAGATTTCTTACTCTCGCTTGAGAGTGTTTGAGTGCAAAGCATTTGCACATGTATCCAAGGAGCACAGACAGAAGCTGGATGATAAAGCTACTCCATACGTCTTTATTGGCTTTGGAGATGAAGAATTTGGATACAGATTATGGGATCCGAAAAACAAAAAGGTTATTCGAAGCCGAAATGTGGTATTTCAAGAAGGCCAGACCTTAGAAGACTTTGGGCAACTAGCTAAACCCAAAATTAATGATGTTTTAAAAATTGTTTCCAATCCTGCACCATCACAGTATGCCACTGATGAAAAAGAGCTACCGTAGTATGCAGCCAATAATGTAGAGTTACAGGATGGATTGCTAGAAGAAGAAGATCCAGAAGAAGAGGGTGTGGAGCAAGGGGAGCCACAACCCCCTCCGCCAGAGACTGTTGGTCCACAGTTGCGAAG